GGAACACCTAGTGCCCCAAGACTAAGTAAATCAGGTGAGGGTACAGGCTGCTGGGACAATCTAGGAGAAAGAGTTCCCCTCCAGAGATGGGAATCCAGAGACAGCCTTGGCCTGCTCAGAACATAAAGGACCGGAACCCTCCAAAGTGAGCTCTTTCTATGGCCTCCTTTGAAGTTCACAGTACCTTTTCACCAACCAGGAAACTGGGGCCCCAGCAGAGGTTGTATACCTAAGGTCACCCAGCTAGTGAGTGACAGGGCTTGGATTTGAAGCTGGCTCACCTTCCTACCAGGTGAGTGGCCACACCCAGAGTCCCTAGACACCAGGGCTCCGGCTAACTGGACAGATTTAGATGCAGCTTCCCTAGACTCCCCAGGGTTGAGTCACCCTGCAGCATTGCTCAGGAGGGTGTGGGAGGGCCCTTCCCACCAGACAGGTACTCTTTACACACAGCCCGAAAACCACCTGGATGGCCTGCAGACCCTGTCCCGGCTGGCAAACAGGGCAGGTGGGGGTGGGAGAGTAATGTCAAGAGTATGTTTTGTTTGTCCTGCATTAGTCACCCCTGTCTGGGAACAGTCCCTGGAATAGGAGAGCAAATCATGTGGGCCCCTGGCCACTCCACTCCCTCCCTGACAACACAGCAACTGCCCCAGGCTCAGGTGCCCTCTCTCACCTGCATCTCCTTTCTAATACACACTATTGGAAATACATACTGAAACCTGACCTGAAGAACCCAAAGCATGGCCACTCAGCCCCCTTTCCTTCACAGGGGTTGTGGCCTTCTTCAAATTCTTAGACCCTCAGGTGGTAATTGGGGGGTCCTGGATCCTCACTTCAGCTCTTGGCAGTCAGCAGAGTGACCTGAGCACTTAATGGCTCCGAGACTCAGTTTACACAACAGCCAGATGAGGCAACATGGAGCCCATAGCCAGGAAAGACTTGGCCATACCCATGGTGCAAATTTCATGCCCAGAGAATTGCTAGAAAGTACGAGCTCTCGGAGGATGCACCCAGTGGGCACACAGTAGTCTTGCATGCTGG